TTGCATTTTTACTACAGTGATTTGCTTTAAGTGCAAGTGAGCTGCATACTTTTTTTATATAATAAATAAAGGGAGCTGAACAGAAATTCTGTGTGGGCCAAGTCATATGACTCATGTGATACGTTGTGTGTGTGTGGCCAGACCATCCATTTACTGCTTCAAGTGTTTTTACATTTAAAAAATTTTTTTTTTTTATTGAAGTTGCTGCCTAATCATATCCTGCATGCTTAGAACAACTCAAAATAAAATGCATATGCATACGCGCTAATATCCATCTTGTTGTGTTTTTAAGACTTCTGACATCTATCACACATACTTTCAAGTGCATTTTCAAAGTCTGCTACACACTGTTCCAAACTAGAACCTCCGCAACTGTTGGCAGATGTCGACATGCAACTAGAATTTCACGAACTTCCTGCCATGCAGCCGTTTGATTTCTAGAATTCCACTTGAGTTGAGGCTGGATTTGGAATGCAGGCCTAAATATACTCGGTCGCAGCTATAGCTGTCTCTTCTGCTTGGCATTACAACAGTGGAGGCTGTATGCGTTCTCAACTATTGTACCCAGAGGGGCATGAGTTGTATTATGTCTAACCACCGGGCTGGGCTATTGTTGGAATCGTTCTATTAATAGGAAGAAAGGCAATAATTGAGATATGGTGTTAGACAACGGCTGCGGTCACAACACAACTGTGTCTGTGTGAGCCTCCCCCGTCTTTCTGTCTGCATTTTATCCTGTCTGTCTTTCTTTGTTTGCTTCGTTTTATTTCTGTTTATGCCCCCTCTTCCACGTGATGTGCCACACTTTCATTTGTGCGGCCTGCTGGGTGTGTTGCATGCATGCACGCACATACACACACTAGTGCAGTCCGTGCCGCTGTGTGTGGGACCTACAGCCTTGCTGTCAGATTTCAACCCTCTGTGTCACATTCCTGTTGCACTTGGACAGGGGGATGCACATGCGCATCCGGCCTGTGGATTTCTCTCGCTTTCTCTCTTGATTCCCTCATGCTTTGATTTAGGCGTTACTCTTTTGCTGGCATTTGTGAGGAATTTTAATGATTCTAATTATAACACCTTAATGACTCTTTTAGTACTTTTGGAGATTCATTGGTCTTTCTAAATAAACTAGTTCATAAAAGTAATTTGTTCTGAATAACATTTAATTAAACAATATTAATTGTACTCATTTTATATCATATTGTAATGTTAAATATTAATATGTATTTTAGCAGTTTTGTGTGTGTATGTGTTAGCAGTTTTGTGTGTGTATGTGTGTGCGTGTATATATATATATATATATATATATAATTAGATAAAATGATACAATTAATATTGTTAAAATGTTATTCAGAACAAATCATGTTTCTGAACTAGAACTAAAAGACTAATGAATACAATTCATATGTGAAATATATATTTATAACTAAAACTTGAAACTAAATTTAGGGGTAAATGTACCAATTAAGCTCACCAAAATCTACATTGAGACATTTTTAGTGCACAAGATATCGGTTTCAGCACAAGAAGTTATATTAAAATAAAATATTAATCTCTCACACAGAAATATTTCATTTTATTTTAAATGACAAAAGCATTTCAATTAAGATATACATCATTAAATGCAAAAGGTCTGGCTGTGCTTAATGGGTAAATTTTTGTACCCTTTAAGCACACCCCTGTTCCCATTAAGCTCAAATCATGTTTTATTAAAATTCTTGTTCATTTTAAACAACCTTTTTAAAGAATAATTGAAAAATGTTTTATTTGAAGGTATAAAGTCAATCACAAAAAAACAACAACAGAACACTAAAATCAAGCAACGAGGCATTCAATTTGATCAGTTATATATTCATAGTTAAGTGTCATTTAAGTACACTGCAACATCTAGACTAGTCCACATTCAGCTAAGTAACA